CTCTTTCTATAGACCCATGTTAAACATGGGTCTATATTAAAACAGTCAGAGAAAAAATCCTGTCAGAAGAATAAAGATTTTACCCAAAATCAAGATTTACCAACCAATGTTTTCCCATTTAATAAAGAATTATTTTATTATACATAAGGGTGATATTAATTGCTTACTGGTTTATTTAATCAAAAATATAAAACAAACAAAAAACTAGGTGAAATACAGATAAATGATTTGAAAGTAAATAATTCTAAATTATTTCTGTTGTTTTGAATTTCTAAGTGAGCAAAAAAAAAAGATAAAATGTAAGTTTCAGGGATTGGAAAAAATTCTGGATGTTACTGGAATGGGAAAGAAAGCTGTTTCTGCTAAGAGGTCAATAAAAGGGCATGACCCCAGGTTCTGGGGCTCAGAGGTCAGACTGAGTGCAGATGTGAATGCAAAAAGATGTTCTATCTGTTAGAGTGAATATTGAAACGTTAAACATCTGCAGTTAAATCCTAGTTTAAATCACACATGATGTAGAATCCTTAACTCCAGACAAAACTAATACATGTCAGAAAATGAATAATCTACTTTCATGATTTGTGAAAAATGTATAATTGCAAAATATGTATTTCTGACAATGTTGAGTGTGTAAGAGCTTATGAATATACTATGCTATACTTTTTCTGTTGTTAGTTTGTGCTCAGGATGTGTGGGGTCTGCAGATTCCTGGACTAGGTTCTTTGGTTTTCTGTTTCTTGTTTTCATTTTATATTTACATTCAGCAGAATCTGCAGCAGATTTTGAGTCTGAATTAATAGAAATGGATTAATGTGATGTTGGGTCTGCAGAAACAAAGCATCCAATCTGACATGCACATGACTTTCACACAGCTGTTGCTTTGCTAACAGACAGACACGCAGTCCCAACCTTTGTCCTGGATAACTACAGATCAGCTTATTGTTGCTTTGTTAACGAGGATGAGAGATTTGCTGCGTGGAAATGGGGGAGGGCTGTGTTTCTGTGAGGGAATCCTAAGCTTCCAAAGCTCCAAAATATCCCTTTGGCCAGTCATGTTCACACACACACACACACACACACACACACACACACACACACACACACACACACACACACACACACACACACACACACACACACACACACACACACACACACCCTCACTAGCAGAGATTCTTGTGCCATGAAGCTGATAGGAAAAACTCAGCAGATGGTGAAACACTTTCTGAGGGCATTTTAAGGCCCTGTTGCTTTCTAACATTCAACTTGTCTTTCTCTATTTTCATCACAGATCCGATTTATTTTAATATTTTAATATGATTTAAGGCCTATGTTTTCTATCTTAGATTAATGTGCTACATATTATTTCATAATAGGCTCCTTGAAAGCCTAAGATTGCTTGTGCTTATGACCAACAGAAGGAACCGAAGAACCAAAGCACTAACCAAATAACTAACCAAAGCACTAACCAAATCACTAACCAAATCACTAACCAAATAACTAACCAAATCACTAACCAAAGCACTAACCAAATAACTAACAAATCACTAACCAAATCACTAACCAAATCACTAACCAAATAACTAACCAAATCACTAACCAAAGCACTAACCAAATAACTAACCAAATCACTAACCAAATCACTAACCAAATCACTAACCAAAGCACTAACCAAAGCACTAACCAAATCACTAACCAAATCACTAACCAAATAACTAACCAAATCACTAACCAAAGCACTAACCAAATAACTAACCAAATCACTAACCACTAACCAAATCACTAACCACTAACCAAAGCACTAACCAAAGCACTAACCAAAGCACTAACCACTAACCAAATCACTAACCAAAGCACTAACCAAATCACTAACCAAATCACTAAACTTATTATTAATGTCTCCACTATGGGCTTTCCAGTTGCCATAGCGACCAGGCCTGCGATATTGCCTAGTTGGAGACACAAGTTGGTGCAGGATAAATATAAACCTTCTGCTGTGACTGTTGTGTGAAGCAGCTTATCCCGTTTGTCATTGCTAGTTTTCACAATATGATTATTTTCCAAAGGGGAAGTTTGACACCAAGGATCCGGATTCAGACTTTCACCGTCCCTCATCTCCAGAGGTTAACCAGCTGCGGACCGTTTCAGTGCTGATGTGTGTTCACAACCAGTCAGGCTGAGGGAAATCTAAAGGTCCTGAAATTTTAATGAGATCAGTTTGTAGCTGTAAAAAAACCCCCAAAAACCACATATTGTCATTGAGCCAGAAGGGGCTGCTGCCTGTCAGATGGACAGAGATTTACGCGCACCTATAAAGCGACAGATATTCCTCTTTCCTCGACATTAAATCAAACTGAACCTGTCCTGTTTGTGTCAGTTAGGATTACCAACATGATTAATAAAAAAAAGTCAGGAAAAATGTAAAGACTACAGCTGTCAGTGAAAAGCTGACATCTAATACTTGAGACCCCGCTAAAAACAATTTTAAATGTTTATTTTAATAGTTCAAACACCAAATATACCCTAGCATGTATTGTACGTGCAGTGGAAACTGCAGAAAGCAGAAGCTAACATCTGGCCTTCCTTATCGTCTTGGGGTTCAACCAAATACCACCAAAGAAGATGAATGGATTGATTGTTTTACAAACGCCAGCCAATGGCGTGTATTTCAGCTTCGCAAACTGCATCTTCTGTCAAATCTTTCAGGAATGCTGTATACAAATCCACAAAGAGGCAGAATCTGTGAAGAATTAAGGGCTTAGATTGAAAAATATCAAATGTCACCCAGAATCTCATCACTTTAAAGACAATAACAAAAACAATATTATCCACTAATTGTTTTTTTATGACATTGGATATCTTAGTGAGAAATACCCTTTAAACATATAAACATAAATTCTGTTATAAGATCTTGGATGTTTTAAAATCTCAAATTTGTGATAATTAAAAGTTTGTTATTTTTGCAGGATGTTTGTTGGAATTCAGTTTTAATTTAATGAAATTTATTATTTGATTTGCTTTAGTGGAGCAGAAAAAACACTTTTCAACTGGCTGACATTGCAGCTCAGCAGGCTGGGCTGCCTGAGTGGGATTGCCCCCTCAGCCCAGAGTCAGCTGAGGATGTGGAGATCATATCATTACAGCATTGTTCCATCTCTCTGTTGAAAGCGCGGCTCTTAGACCACAGGAGAGGCCAGGCACTCTGCCAGAAACACTTATCATCCTGACATCCATTTCTCACTGGCTTCACAGCTCAACTGTACTTTACACCAAGCTTTCATGAGAGCTCAGAGGTTTGGGAGCAGAGAAGGCATCTTAGTCCGAGTGACTGTGAAAGGGTTTGGCACCAGAAACAGTTTAATGTGAACCAGTCAGTGTGCAGAGTCGAGCTCTTTTGTCAAAAATCACACTTGTTTCTTGAAAAGCTCTTGAATCATAAATAATCTGAATGTCACCAATGAAAATTGATTGTATTGATTGTTTGGTGTTCGTTTTAAAGGCATTCATTCATTCACCGTGCCACAGAAAACCCTGCTGGGTCAAGAACTAGAAATTTATGGAAAAAGTCACTATGCAAATCTTTTGTAATTTGAAATATGTTTCTTCTATCTGTAAATATGAGTACAATAAGCATTATTCAGCAGCATTTGTCTCATCATCACTAAATGATTGAAAGCATAAAAGGCTCTGATCAGGCTGATTTATGCAACCGGTAGTGGACAGGGTGACGACCACACCGCATTCTGAAATGTTTTGCACAATACATTTGATGCATCGCTCTTTAGCTGTTTTCTCACATCATTTGTCCATTAAAACATGCATATCAAACCATTGAACTTTGACCTAAGGGGCTGGCTCTTATGTGTTGTGCCAGTACAGTCATAAATTAAAATATGCATCCCGTTGAGGCTTGTTTTTTTGTTTGTCAGATTAAAAACATCTTTTGAAAATAATAACATTTAAGTTGATATTAAAAGACTTTTCAGTAATAAGTTCTCAAATTTTAAACAGTTTACTTATTGGTCTGATTTAGTCTTCTAATTTCAAATGTCATAATGTTTTATTAATTATCTGTAGAAATTTTTCATAATTAACAGAATTAAAGGCTTTCAAACATCCATCTGTGTGTAATTAATTTATAGAACGTGTTTTTCCGAGTGATAAAGACTCAAAAAATGGGCTTTTTAGCAATATTCTAAATTATAGAATGGGTCTGCAAATTTGACTATTCATTCTTCATATTTGCAACACATTTTTATTGGGATTCTAGGTTCTAACACATTAATTTGAAACATTTTTTAAACATTTGTCTGCATCTCTGGCTGCTTGTTTTGGACGTTGTGCTGCTGGGAGAAAAGTTCTCAGTCCTCTGGTTTCTTCCTCGACTGTCCTGCATTTATCTGCCTCTGTCTTTCCTCTCATCCTGTCTAGAACTCTGTCCCTGCTGAAGAAATAATTTCTATAGCATGACGCTGCCACTACTGCGTTTAATGATGGAAAGGATGTGACCAGAGAAATGAGCCACTGTAGTTTTGTGCCATAGAATTTGAGTTGAAGCTCAAACATTCAGTTTGAACAGATTACCTTTTCCTGCTGTTGTGCCGTTTCTCCTTTCATATTTAGATGATGCATTGCTCCAGGGGATATCGAAATTCTGGGATATTTTTATGCAACAAAACTGGAAAAGTGCAATGGGTATGAATATTTTTGCATGCAGTTTTGGCCCTTACATTGGGCAAAATTGTCTAAACACAGTGTGGATACTTTAAATTTCCAAATTTAAAAAGATTAAATGACAATTTTAGCTATTTTGTAGCTCTCCTTGATGTTGTGTGTACATGTTTAATGAAAAACGCAGCACAGCTAACTTTTTCCAAAGCGCGTGTAAAATGTCCTTTAAGGAAATAAAACTCTGACATGGCAGTTGTGTTATTATGGTGGAAGGAATTATCGGTCAACACAATTAGGAACTTGAATCACTGCTTTATGTGAAACATACAGATTTTTGCGAACATTTTATTTATGAGGGCTAAATAACATTAAAAGTTTTTAGCCTTTTTGTCAGAAGCTGTCAGAGCGTGATGGTCGGTCATCCTGAGTCTGACTTTTTGGAGATTTATTCTTCTTCTTGTTTTCAGTGTTTGACTGGTATGTCTTAAAAAAGGGGGATAGCTGCAAAAGAAAAAAAAAACATCAGTGAACTAACTCTGCTGGTTTTAATATATTAATAGATTTCATGGGAATTAATTGCACCAAATGTATTCAAACTGGATTAGTTCAATGTGTTCATTTTTTTATTTTATGGTAATTAAATAAGCAGCTGGTTGGGTGGCTGACGTGAGGGAACAGTATTAAATGATCTTCAGTTATTTCTTTTAAAATACCTATTGAGAAAAAAAATAGTGTTTCTGTACAAACCTGTATAAACTTCCAAGGTTCCATAAGAATAGTGTCAGTGCAGGTTCATTTATGAACTACATGCACCGTTTTATTTTTCTTATTGCTGCTGTCAAAATGACCAAACAATGCTGCCACCTACTGGTACAAACAGACAACGCAAACAAAGAGGCTGTGTATCATAAAATAAGCCACATTTCATTGTTTGTTTTTCAAACTGTTTTATAACTAAAGTAATCATTCTTTGACATAGTTTTTCTGAGAGATTATACTTCACCAATTCTGCAAATCAGTTCATGAATATTCACACTGTGATGCAGTGAGCGTGAAAGGTTCACCATTGAATTTCTGACAGGTTGGTTCACTTTTATCTCCTTGTAGGAAACAGGAGCTCCTTTCCATATTGACGAGTCTGAAAAAAGAGAAAATACAGATATGGAACAATGAAACTAAGTATATTTGATCAGTTATTAAAACACATGGAGTCCTCATTTTTATTTAACTACAAAACATGAACAATCAAACTATAATATCACAGGACCTTTGTGTAAACTCCATGCTCAGTGCTGCAGACATCACCACATGCAGATTACATGCAGATTTTTTGTTTTCATAAGACTTCTTTAAAATCCTTCTGATCTGTTAGGGAGACAGACATTTATTATTTTCTAAGACAAAATATGCTTTTCATATTCTCATAATATGTAATTTTCATAATGTATCAAACTTTTATATTCCTCTAAAGAGGGTAAAAAGTGAGCAGAAATAGTTGCATTACATAAAGAGTTTTTTAAAGATATGATTTCATATTGTGTAGTTTTTCAAAACTGCACAATTATTTAAATATTGTGAACAATTCCTGCACATTTTGTCTCCAATGTTGTCAATTTTGGTGAAAAAAATAATACTTTAAATGCCTTAGCTTTATCTAAATGCCATACGAACAAAACAGGGACTATCTGAAAATATAATTTTACCACTTACTGATTTCTGTCACGATTTCAATCTAATAATATTAATCGTTAAAAAGATCTAAACTTTGACTTCTTCCATCGCTGGATTACAGAAAAGATGAAACGTAAATAGTTAAAGAACAAATGTCATATTTTGGAGCCAATATACCTATAAATACTGAAGGGAAATGAATCTTTCTATTGTTTGTATACAGTTTGTCCATTTTAAGATAATTTCTGCCTCAGAATAAACAGGAATGTGGAGCTATGAAAACTTAATGTAGATTATCCTGCATGTGAGCTCTGACCAGAGTGTCTGGAAAAGACAATCTGGTGAGAAACTTTAAGTCTTTTTTGTGTTTCTAGTTTTTGTATTTATGCTTATAGCATATAAATAACTGCAACAATAAACAAATATGCAAACAAATAATAAACTTCTTTTATCTTAGGCGATGTGACTGTCGTCTTCTACCAGTTCATCTAAGTTGTGTGAAAACTAACTGCTGCTGCCAAATTTGAAAATCTAATCTAAAAGACCTGATGACCCATGAGTGACCCACCGGTGGGGAGAGACTCGTCTGCAGCTGTGTGTTCCAACTGCCTGCCGTCCCTGCTGATTTGTGCTCTCCTCAAACTGACGTCTGACTCGGCCATGATCCCTGCAGCTACCAAATTGTTCCCGAAAGACCTTGACGATGTGGTGCGACTCTGTGAGGACTGTTGTGACTGCTGACCCTGGACATCTGTGACACTGAGAAGAGAGTGAAGAGATGGTCATCTTCCTTCTTTATTCTATCAAGAAGTGATTTTGTGACACATTAATTAGGTTTAAATACAAAAACACATCAAAGAGCAACATCATAAGATAAGATAAGTTGAGTTGAGTAAGTTAAGTAGGTTTAACTTACTTCTGAGTGGTCAGCTTCTGATTGGTCAGCATCTTGTAAATGTCCTGCAGCAAAGCCTCAGCTGCTCCTGGTTCACAGTGTATACATCCATAGATTGCTTCCTTCGATAGCTCCAGATTCTTCTTCTTCAAAAACTGGAGCAATAACAATTTTGAGCACAAATAGCCCATAAAAATATTACAATGAGTTCTCATTAAAAATATATATTTGAAGTTGTTTTATATTGATAATATTCCCATTTTAAAGGTTTGTTTGCAAGTATATTTGATCTATTTTACCCACATGCTAACTGGATGTGAAAAACAGCTCGTTATATTTTTAGATTTTAATAACTCTTACCTTCTGTATCCGGCTCCAGTTCTTCTGCTTGGAAGAAAATGACACTCCATTGAGAAATGAGTATTTTGAGATGTCATGGGGGTAATAATGAGAAAATATCTCAGCAACCAGGTAACCATTGGACAAATCCCTGGAAGTGGAGGAGAGGACATCATTAAAATGAGTTGTGGAAGGAATTAAATGTCCATTAAAAGAATCAAAATATGAATCAAGTACATTCATTTATAAATGCAAAATGCATTCATTAAATAATATCAGTAATGAATGAGATACATGCTGCCTTTATTTAAACAAAAACACAAATATTTTATTTACTTAGAGATAAATATTCACTCATTTATTAAAGCATAAAACTTTAATAAATGTATTAAATAAGAAGAAAACTATTTTATTATTTTATACTCAGATCTTCTCAGGTTACAGTTGATCAGAACAGCTTAAAAACTCTTCTGATATTATCTGTAGGCACAGGGAAGCTGACATTTCTAAGGGTTTTGGAAGAAAGCAAACTGCATGATCCGTCATGAAGCAACTCATTTTAAATAAAAGTAAGCATGCATCCAGATGGTGTTATTTACATTTCATCAGCTTGGAACACGTATTTTTGTAATACTATATTATCTAAACGTGTAGTTATTGATCTACCTCCGTAGATTATTTGGGTGAAATGACAGTTCCAGATCTTGGAGCCACTTGATGACTTCTCTGTCAACTCCTGTCGCATGACCCTGAGAATAAGACATTCTCCTCAGAAATCAAGAATCAAGATGAGCTCTTGGAAACCGCTAACATTTATCCACCATCAGTTAAGCTGCTCCCGAAATGGCCTTTTTCTGTTTGTCCGTTTCCACAGTAACCAGCCTGGCTCTTCGCTGGCCTCTGCTGCCACCTAGCGGATAATTAATAGTTTTGATGGGAAATACAAAGCAAAGCGTTTCTGAATGATAAGTTATATTCAAAGATATTTCATCTACAATTGACAATGAGATGTTTCAGTCTAAATGTTTATTCTTTAATAAATGTTACATAAAGGTTATTTATCAAGGCAACATAAACAAAAAAATCATGAATGCAAATTAGTGCATCATAAATCATCAAGTAGTGTTCAGTGCTTGCAACTTCAAATAAAAGAAACTTGCTCATGTATACTGTAGAGTGTTATTATTACATGAAAACCTCTGAAAACAATATTTTTCCTTATAAAGTGCTTGTGTGGTTTAGTTGCTTGAACTTACAAGGCACCAAATTCAACAAATACAGAAATGAAGTGATTTTTACCTTTTCATAGCATCTGGTCGGATGACAATAATCAGACTATTGACCCCTAAAAGTTTCAGCAGCAATTTCCTTCACATTCAGAAACATTACTGTAAGCTTTATTCACATACACTCCCAGTCAGAAGTTTCATCCATGCATTGTGGTTTTCAACCATGATTATTTTACACATTTAAAACTTCAGAGTGGTTTTAAAAACATAAAATGGGGTCTGAAGTTTGAATTATTTGATTTTCTGTAATCTACTCACGGTAAAAACAAATACAGATGCAGGCTTAAAAATTAAGATTCACCCAATAATGTTTGGATATATGTTCGTTAGTAATTTGCAGGGAAACCATTAATAAGAATCTGACATGATTCTGGTTAGATATTTAACCATTCTTCTTTTTAGAAATGGGAAGGTTTGTTTTATTTTTTCTTTGTATGGACCCTGTTTCAAGCATAGTAACTGAATTATTAGTAGAGCTGAGGCTGCGTGATTTTAAAAATCATTCAGCCTGTTTTATGTATTACAAAGCTGGTGCTGGTGTGTGTTTTAGGTCACTATCCCATTAGACGTCCCCTGTTGTGTCCAATTTTCACTCTTCTCAATCACATTGCCCAGGTAAAATGAAATGAGTACATGGACAGGAACAACCAACACGGCTCCAGCCTGTCAGTAAGAGGAAAAAGCTAAAAGACGAGTGTCGCTGTCCAGAGTGAAGCATGTTTGGCATGGACTGACCATGAAAGACTGTCTACAGCTAGAGGGTCACAACTTGGACACAGTTTGCGTTTGCTGCTCCCACATTTATATGACATTGATTGTGATAATAGGTGGCTGTAAAGATCTGAGCTGAAGTGCATCTTTTGGTAGGTTGGTGCAGTTGGAATTTCCTTTATTCAGTGTCTGCTCTGTGTCTGGTTGAAATAATCCCTTATGGTGTGTTGGGACCACAGCATTACGGCCAAAGCGGTTCTGATGTGTTTAGATTAGTTAAAGGTTTATTTCATAGAGTCCATTTAGGCACACGTTGTCTTGGTTCTGCTGGTCATTGGTACTGCAGGTAGTTCTTGAGCCTGTTGGGAAGAGGAAGGTGAGAAAGAAGGTGGAGTCTGTCGCGGCCAACGCAGCTTCTGATGCACTGACGGCACAACTGGCTCAGCAGGCGCGGCGTAGCTGTGAAAAAAAAAAACACAAAAATCTGACCTGGAAATTGTTTGTAACAAATGAGGAAATAATGACTTTTTCACTGGAAGTAGCCTGGATGTGAGGAGTCATGAAGCCCAGTTGAGTCGTACCTTCGTAGAGCAGCAGGAAGCCCTCTGTCAGACTGCTGGGTGGAGCCACATCTACTGGCCTCTGAAACTCTGTGTTTCTGGCGTTTATATCAGCCCCAAAGTCCAGCAGCAGCTTCACCACAGCTGTGCAGTCCTTTTCTGCTGCCGCGTGTAGCGGCGAATCCAACGATTTGCCTTTCTGAACGTTTGCACCTGTAGGATGAAAAAAATTATGATCTGAGATCATGTTCAGCTTTTTCTTCATAAGCATTAAGTTCCAAGCTTCAGATTTCTGTCTTTTTATGTAAATCTACAAATTCACCACATTTAACATAAAATCCTTTAACCCTGAGAACCTTTTCATCTCATTACCTTTAATTGAGAGATTATAAGCATGAAAAATCAGCTGAAAATAAGCTGCATAATATGTTGTGTGTGGATTGTTTACTAACAGCCAACCATTCTCTCTTATTCCTTCCACTTGAACTTGTTCATATTTTTGTCACTTTACAACATAAGATAATTAAACAGTGGAAGGAAAATGATGTGTGATTTTCACATTTAATAAAGAATTAGTGTGGTGTTAATCTATAATCTAATGTACTCTATAACTATAACTTTTTGCATCACTTTCGCTGTTATGTATGATCTGGTATATTACTGTCTATGAAACAGGTTTAAAGGTCCTGTAACCTTATGGGAATGTGACGTACTCCTACATGTGCAGTATCATTTACTCTTTACTATTGGCCTGTATTAGTATTTAAATTATTGTGCATAATATTGAGTGCATATTCCACCTTCTTGTCTAATTCTCTTATGTTTCATATTTTTGTATATTTTATTCTGTTTTTAATTTTTTTTGACACTCTTATCATGTTTGTACTTGTGTATGATCGTTTGAATAAATGAGTGCAGCACCTTCAAACATCTGGACATTGTTCTCAGGGATGAAGCAGACTGGTGAAAATCTACAATTCCCAGTATCAAACAGAAACCAGTGTGTATCAGAAGCCATGATGTCATCATTATCTGGGCTTACCCTCATTGTTTAAAGAGATAATAATTATTCTTTTGACTTTGAGACAAATAAATGTCTGACAAATTCTCTCTCTCATTGTAGAAATGAGTAAATAGACATAATTTTGGTAAGCAAAACGGCCCTTGGGGACGGGAAGTTTGGATTATTTAAAGATGTATTTGTCTTTTTATTTGGTGTATGTAAACTTCTGGTTTCAGCTGCATTAAAGTTTTGTTCAGTGGACTCTGTAAGAATCCATTTCCACAGGGTAAGGATTTATATCCTAACCTTTCATATCCTACTTCTGCTTGTGTGGATGCATAGGACTTGCATCTGTCTCTGAGGAGATGTAAATATCCTCTGCGCTCCGAGCTAACCTTCCTTCAGGAGCTTCCTGGCACATTCCAGCTCTTGGCAGACGCAGGCAGTGTAGAGCGCTGTACCCAGGTGAGGAATGTCCATGTCCACATCGGCCCCCCAAGTCACCAGGGCCTCAACACAACCATAATGACCTGGAAGTAATGGTGCATGAAGATAGTAATCAGTATGCGACAATGTGAGGTGATTCTCCAAGCTGTCTTCTCTGGTCAGGTTCATTTATTTTTAAAGCTGTGGGGTTTTTTTTTACACTGTAGGACATTTAGAAAGAGTGTTGTAGCAGAGCAGGAGACATACACACAACATGAAATATGGGATTGAATGTAATCCCAGATAAGGAGAAATATTGATAGGGAAAACATTGCAGTCCATCAATGAAGCTAGGCTGCTGTTTCTCAGCTAGAAAGCAGAAATATTTTCTTTTTCTTTTATGACTATTTCTTTGGATGGATTGTAAACGGCTTATGACCTGCTAAAGCAGTTTTTCACCCTTTAATGTTGGCTTTAGGCTCTCTTTTCAATACACCATGTTCTGTTATGTTATACCTTTACTGGTCGCTTCATGTATCGGTGAAGGTTGGTATACAAGGCTCTGGGGTTTTGCTCCATTTTCCAAAAGGATTTCAGTGCAAGCCACACTACCCACCATACAGGCATTGAACAGAGGGGTGACTCCATCAATTGTAGATGCATTGACCTGTAAAAACATTTTTATTGTTATTTTTAGCCCATCTTTAACAATGCAGGTTGACTAATGGCAAACGCCAGGGGGAACAATCTAATCGCTCTACAGTGTCCATAGATGGAGAGCAGCACATCTCTCATTTGTTATCCCCTTCCGAAGTTTCCCATCCATGGAAATTACATTTGACCTCAGCAGAATGGCAACATTAAAGAGTCTCCAGGCCAGAATATGACTTACATTCGCTCCTGCATCAATGAGCGCCCTGGCACAGGCAACATGGTCTGCGAGGCAGGCCTCATGAAGGGGTGTCACATGGTCTATAGTCAGAACATTCACATTGTGACCCTGGAAACACAGCACAGCAGCAGCCAGAGAGATTTAGTGGGAAAATTTGTTTTTAGAAGCACTCGGCATCAGACGTGCTCTGTCAGTCTCCAGTGGTGAACAATGGGAATTACATGAACATTATCAAAGCTTTTCTCCTCGCACAAGACAGAGCCTTCATCGTCAGTTACGGCTTTGAGTGATAACTGAACTTTACTGCAAAGTCACATTTCAACCCCACAGATTAATTAGCCTGCTAATTAAAGTGAAGATCAAACTGCAATCTGGTTCAAATTCGACTAATTCACCATGTGAATACAGTCATGTTGTCACTGATGTGTCTGATGTGAACCAAGCATCTCAAACTTCAGCCCATGGTCTTCTGTGAGTGAGCAGAAGAAGAACAAAACAAAGATTGCAGTTTTTAATCCAGCTTTTCTTTGAGAATGATATAGGAAATAAGATTGTTTCATTTTGCATTGAGACAGTGCTAGCCCCTAACACAGATAAACCCGAGGCCAACAGATCCTGGGCCAACAGCACACACATCACAATGTGTCTCAACTTCAAACAGAAGTTTTGAAATATGCTGCTTAGTGTTTGGGATCAACCAACACAAAGCAGTGCACTATAAAATCGAGGGAGAAAGATGCATCATTTTTTAAACTCTTCTATGGCATAAAAATGTGGCACGACTTTGTAGAAATACCATTCCCATCAGTCAAACTCTTTTGGGTTATTTTCTTACAAAAGTTTGACATCTTGATGTGCCTTTCTTGTGAAATAACTCAAACTCAGTTAGTTTTAATGGGTAACATCTGCACACAATAAAGTCTTGCCATTAAAATTTGGTATTGTTAAAAACGGGTCCATTCTAACACAGACATGTTTGATCTAAACTCTTTTGTATGTAAACGGACAGAAAGTGAACGGGTCTTTGGTATTAGATTTTCTTTCATAGTTCACATTCCCACTGCATGATGCTGCCTCCACTATGTTTCACTGAAGGGATGGTGTGTTTCTGTTCTTATGTTTATTTTTTGCAAGTTTGATTAAGGCTTGATCTGATCATAGAATCTTCTTCTGCACACTTGCTGTCTTTTTCCATTCTTCTGTAAAGCAAAGATTTGCAAAATAATTAGTTAATGGGGCTAAAAAAATATGCATGATAATTTTACAGCTTGTTTTGGTTTGTCACATAAAATCTCAACAGAATTAATTCAAGTTTCTAATTTTAATGTAACAAAAACTGCAAAAAAAATTAAAGGATGTGAATACTTTTGCAAGGGACTGTGTATGCAGCTCACTATCACTTCTACCCCACACTTTCCTCTATCTCTTTATCAGACATCGAGTCTACAAAGGCACTGAACGCAATTTAACAGCACCAGAGGTGGCAACAAAAGCCCAACATGCGTGCAGATAAGGGGACAGACATTACCCTCTGAGAGATTGTGTTCCCTTCACCTGTAAAATGAGGGTCCTCAGGGCGAGGAGGCGGCCCTGACTGGCAGCGTCGTGGAGGGGTGAGCGGTCCGCCCAGGATCCTGCATCAGGAATATAAATTCAGTGGTTGCTTCTCCCCACATTTATTCCAGATTGACACGTCATGCTGTCCAGAGGAGCAACACGACCTTTAGAAACTGCAATGCAGAACAGTACAAGAACCTGTCCCTGTGATGCTTAATCCAACAAGACATATTGTTTTAGCTGTTTTAGTTCTAACCTTTTGATACATATTCAAGTCAGTATTGTGTAATGTCAATTGCACCCCTCTTCTCACCGCCCCTCCCCCACACCAGACACACCTGAGTCAATATCCAGAATAACAGCTGATGCATTCCACACGCTGTCATCTTCTTTATTCTCCTCCTCCATTTTCATCATAAATTATAGATAAGAATCAACTGAACTTCCTCCTTTTATTCATGCAGCATATTTTCCTCAACTGCCATTTCAAATAGAGACATATAGAGAGACATCAAACAGATTCCTCCTAACAAGGAAGACCGTATCTACAGGAGCATGACTAATATCCTGATTTGAGCTAATTGGTATTCCCTTTGAGTGATAGCTGCAGATTATGTTGTTGTCGTGTCTGTCTTGCCCCAGAATGTGTCTCCGTGGCGCTTGTCCCCCAGAATGTGGAGTGTTGTTTTGGTTGCTGTGTGAGTGTGACAGGGTGCACTGCATAGCTGGGAATGGAAAGTAGGGCAGGCTGAGGGGGGTGGAGGGAGCGGCAGAAGGAGGATATCATGACTGGGTTCTATTATTATATTAGAGAGAAAGCTGCTGGGCCGATCAAGTCTTCGTTTAAAATGGAATAGTTCAGGATTTATAAGTGGCTATTAAGCATGAAATGAAAGAAAAGTAGCCATTAATTCATATCCCTGCTATAAATGGGCATATAATTAATGGCTTTTAGAGTAAATGGATAAATGAAAAGGTATTTATAACACAGAAATCATGTAAATATGGTGCATGTGCCCTTGATTTATAACGAGGAGGATTTCTTACATCTGACCTTACAGGTGATGTCAAAAGTGTCACTATGAGACTCCCTTAAATACACATGTGTAGTTTCGTCATATTTTACATCAAATTCTACTTCAAATAACCCAGTTTTATGATAAACAGCTTCAACACAGTTATTCAAAAACTTTTCTTCCAGTACTCACTGTGTTGTTGACCGTAGTCATAGAACTCTGCTGATATCCGGGCAGCTTCTTTACGGTTCCCACGGACTATATAGAAGTATGTCAGCAAGTTGAGAGAAATCTTAACAAAAAGCTTGAAGCAGAACAGTGCCAAAATGCTAAGGTAGACATTGGACAACTGGACTGCGAAAGGCTTGTTGGTGAGTTCCACCGCTCGGTCTGACATTTCCTCAGAAGAGCTTTGCTTATGAAGAAGGCAGGACCAGATGCTGCTCCAAAAGGCACAAGAGTTGCCTACTTTTCTTCCACTGTACTCTCTGATCGTCCGGACCTGTCAGAGTGCAGCCTGCAAAAAATGCCCTGCAGCTGCTACTGGGCCTGAGAGCAACTACTGCAATGTTATTAAACACTGCCTGTGGGTGTGTGTGTTCACAAGTTATGAAAATTACAGAAGTGCCTGTTTGGTCATGAGAATATAACCTTTAGTAACAGTAAATTATATATATGTATGCTTATAAAATATGGTTCTTGCAAGATTTAATAAATGGGTTTTGAAGAACCTGCATTTTGTTTTAAAAGCTAATAGTACATATTATTTAATTGATCAATTTTTTAATGCGTACTTTCTCAATAAATATTCATTAGAGGGTAAAAGTAATTAAACATATTAGGAAAAGAACAAAGAATAAGAAGAAATTGATACAATCATTTTTTATGGATCTTCTGGTGGATTTAAAAGCAAAATGTGTCAATTTGCTTTGGCTTAGAATAGAATAGAATATAAATTGTCTTTAATGTGCCACATGAGTGAAAACACAGACTAAGCGTAAGTGGTGGCATCCAGTCGCACAAAAAAGGCATAAATAAGAGGGGAGACTGTGCAATTAGGGCAAATTTACAATGAAAAATAATACTGTGCAGTTATTCAACTCAACATTCTCTGATTAAAAAAATTACAAAGATATGGGCAAATGACTATTAGATATAAAAGAAAATAATAGTTAAATTAAAATATATTCATTGCATTAGTTTAAGTTAGTCTTACAACTACTTTACCAGATTTAACACTTATTTTCTTTTTATAAGAGTTGTTTGAAATGTAGACTGGAGTTTGCATGTGTTACTGCACTCATCAGTAATCCACCACCAGAATGTGAATTTCACAACAAGTCAGTTTTCTCATCCTGTCAGCCATGTTTGTTTTTATCTGAAAATCAATCTGTGGCAAATATGAAGCAAAATGTGTCAATTTAGACACATGCAGGCTGATTGGTTCATTCTGGAAAAAGTGGTAATGGATTTGGGTTGAACTGTGACGTCATCATATTTAACAGGTTGTTTTTACACCAGTTCTCTCAGCGTTTCCCTGGAAACGCCTCTGCAGTTCTGCGCGTGCGCGCAGCGTGACCGAACACCTTTTCCGCGAACATTGAACAGCCTTCCTTCCTGTGTTCACCTCTCCGTGTTTAGCTGCTGTTAATTGGTGTAAATGGCGGCCTTGCAAATGTTTTCCATCATTTTAGTAACTGCTGCTTGTTTTGGTGAAAGTGTTGCCAATTCAAACGGGTCTGGGATTGATTTCGACTCGTTCAGGAAGAAGTTTCACCGGCTGTATGAAGTCAACAGTGAGGAATTTAACCGTCGTCAAATCAATTTTCAGGTGAGAGACAAGAGAGAATGTTTTTGTCCTTTTTAACTCGACACTGTTCTAAAACAAGCGTGCAAAAGTTTCTGTTTAGGAAAAACATAAACTGACACTAAAGTTGTAAAAATAGCAGCTCAGTTCATTTCCTGCACAAGTTGAACTCTTAAAGTCACAGTTCAAATTGTTTAGTGTCCTGCTAAAGTTTTTATTCGTTGAATTTACAGCCACAAGTCTTAAAGTTTTATGTGACGAAGCAAAACAATGCCCATATTTGGAAGTGGAACCGTAATCACAATTTTAATGTCGTAAAAAATAAAAGTCTATACAGTTATATTTCTGTGTATATTTAGACTATTGCGTCCAGCAAACAGCATTCTTTGCAAATAAAAGACCCACTAAATACCAAACCCACAGAAAAAGACTTCAAAACATGTCCAAAAATTATTAGTAGTATTATTTTTAAAGGAAATTACATTCATTGTTTTTGGTTTTATAACAAAATTAATCAAAGTTTCACTGAGGGAAAAACATTTATTTTCAACAGAGTAAACCCTTTCAATAAATATGTTAAAAAAATGAAGTTACAAATTTAGTGTGACACTTTATATGATTTATAGCACAATTTACAAGATTTTTTTTGCTCTGTCACAAAACATCCTAATGAAAAACATTCAGGTTTCCTTTTGTAACAAAATGTGAAACAGACTGTGTGAGAATGCAGATGCAAATATTTTAAAATCTTTGTACCATTGGTGCTTTCTGTTCTAGGTATTCGTTAGCTGCTAACCCATCCTTATGCTCTTTATAATTAATGACTTATTTGGTTTTGTAAGAACCACAGTGGAGCCTTGTGGCTCTGGAGCCACATTGCAGACCTTTTCTTTGTTTTGCTCTGTCACAAAAAATCCTAATGAAAAACATTTTAGTTTCCAATTGTAACCAAATGTGAAAGGTTTGTGAGAGAATCTGTGCAAGACATTACTCTTGTTTAACCATTATAATCTAATGTTACACAATGCAAATATTTTAAAATATGTGATAAATGAATAATATTGTTCTGGTTGTTATCATGTACAGTTTAACTCCACATCCATTGTTTTTCTTTTTTAAATCTAATGAAAACATTTAAAAATTTGCATTTTATTTCATTTCTTTTTCTTTTTTCTCTTTTTCCCTCTGTTTTTTTATTCCTAGAAAATATTTCAATGTTGCTTTTCTTATTTCTGGTTAATTATCATCCAGGATTTGTGTTATGTGTGTTTTTACAGAATGCTGCAGTGCGACATCTATACCTGAACTCATTTTCCAGGCAGACACAGTCTGCTACATATGGCATTAACCAGTTCTCTGACCTTTCACAGATGGAATTTAAGGGTAAGAGAAAAATTCCTTGTGGATTTGAAGCTTGCAGAATTGAATTAGTTGCAAGTACTGAATGTTTGTAAACTCGCAAGTTAAGACAAAATAAAGATCTTTTATCGTTGTTAAAGTGGATCTTTGTATCCAGGATTGAGTCTGGCCTGGATCTTTATTTGCAGATGTTTACCTTCGAGCAGAAAGCAGCAGTGCTCCTGGCTTCGTTGGATCGACCAGAGCGGGGCTTCCGGCCAAATTTGACTGGAGGGATAAGAGAGTGGTGGCACCAGTCCAGAACCAATTAGCGGTAAGGTTGATACAGACAGATGATGGATATACTGGATCGTTGTTACACTCAAATCACTGTCAGCAGAAATAAACAACATGGATTAGCTCATCACATTAAAATTTGCTAATGAGGATCCTTTGGTCATAACAAAATAATCAAAAAATGTATTTGCACCATTCGGGGGACTGGGGCAGAGGTTTACTTTGCAACAGGATGATGACACTAGACATACAGCCAGCGCTGCAATAAAATGGTTTGGTTTCACATATATTTATGTGCTAGAATGACTTAGTCAAAGTCTGTACCTGGATAATTGCTGTTCAGAAAATATCGATCCAGTTCAACTTAACTTGAGCTGTTATGTAAGGAGAATGGGCAAATATTTAGTTTGAATTTGCAAAGCTGGTAGAGCTAAACCCCAAATGACCTAAAGTTGACATGGGCTGAATACAAATGCATGCCACACCTTTCAGATTTTGTTTTTTTAAGAAGATTAGAAAACTTTGACTAATCTTTTTTCTTTGTCACAATGATGCACAGCTTTGTATTTGTCACATCAGATCTCAAAAACGTTAGTTGGAGTTTTTTGTTTTCAACTTGAAAAAATGTGAATACATTCAAATGAAATTAAAATATTTACATCTTCATTTGCGCACAAGAAAAAATTGATCTATTAAACTAGAGTCTAATGCAATAATGCATGTGCAGTAATTGAACGTTGTTTAATTATATTATTTAGTTTTATGATTAGATGTTTCAAACAGATGGCAATAACTTCTTCAGTTAACCTGGTTAATGTGGGTGGAGTGAAAGGATTTCAGTCAGTACTGGCAAAAAAACCAAGGTTGACCTTACTGAAAGCCGCCACCTGCCGCATTCCTGCAGCTTCTCCACATTTCAGCAGCTGCTGTGCTCTCCACAGCTCGCAGTGAACGTTAGTGGCAGCAGAGTTCAGCTCAGGGCTTTAGTGGAAACTTTCATTTGAGATTTTAGCTGCCGTTCCATTTTAAATGGAGAGCATAAGTTTAAATGTTTATCATAAAATAGATATTTTACCACGTCGCAGTTTGGAATTAAATTACGGTGCGAGAGGTTCACACATTTAGTTTCGACAATCTGGCTTCAGTTCGTCACCTCACCATCTGCCTCACCAGCTCCTCCTGTCTCCAAAATGCAGATATATACGGCAGGTCAATGGTGCTGCACAGGTGCACGCATTCTCGCTTATCAAGTCTGTATTTTTGCTTCATGTGAGAAACAGGATTGGTATTTTTCATGGACAACTCATCCCTCCTGAAATATCCGATTTGCAGCTACTGTACAGTTATGTCGTCCAAATTCCTGAGTTCCACTTACTCTTTAATTATTTTGGTAATAACAATAAATAATTGCCAAGTATTTAAACTCTTTAAATGAAACGTTCACATTTTCACACCCAAATCACCTTCCCCTCATCTTGGATATATTTAGAAGTCTCAAACTAAGATTTATGACGAGTGCACAGAGAGTTCTCCCTTCTGCAAATCAATTTTAGTCTTGGAGAGTTCAGCTGAAGGTCAAACATTCATCTGAAGTAGTAATGGACAGAATACATATTTGAGTGGCGGGGGAGTTCAATCGTTAAGGAAAAGCAATGAAACGATGACAAACCAAGCCTTTGAGACTTCAGCTCAACGAGCAGAGGGGACCTGGGCTCCAAAAGAACTGGGCTTAGTGAAATGGAGCTGTTGCATGTCCTTTATGAAGGTTCACTTTTTGCTCTTTTTGTCCTTTATCTCTTTAGTAAGTCAATTTGCTGCAGGGGATGATATTTTCACTCTAAAGCACTTCTCCTAGGGGAGAGACGTAACCTATACAGGAGAATGCTGCATGATAACATGGTGTATATTTCATCCTTTTGAGTACAGAGAAAGTTTAGTGCTCCTGGGAGAGTCCGTAAACGACCCGAGTCTCTGCACTCACCTACCTCAGCTCGCCGGCAGTTTATCTGCTCGCATTTCTTATTGTCTGGCTTGTCTGTGGCCCTTCCTGGGCTGGGTTTCCACACAAGATTAATTGATAGGCAGAAGA